GTATCGAAGCCTTGGGAGTGCGTCCAAAGAGGTGCTTGAATTTATTCGCTCCCAATCCGCAAACAGGTGCTTGGTACTGGGGGACTTCAATCTACCAGAAGTTTGCTGGGCAGATCTTTCTTGCAACTCGGCGGAAGGTACTTTCGGTGAAGATCTTCTTGATCTTACGCTACAAGTACCGTTGCATCAGTTCGTGGACCTCCCCACTAGGTACATGGGTGCCCAACTACCGTCTGTTTTGGATCTAGTTTTTGCCAAGTCACTAGACTTCGTAGGTGACATCATTTACAGCTCTCCCTTAAGTGCTAGTGATCGTGTGTTTATCGTTCATGTGTACTCTGACCAGGCGTCACCAGAGCATTGCTAAGCCATTTCCATATACATATATATATATATATTGTGCACCATAGCTTGATGTCATGAGTAAAAAACAAGCAAATCGAAGCGATTGCAACAATCGTTGCTCCAAAACAGGGCTCTGAGGCACGCCACGGTCGATTTGCATGGGGTCAGGTAAAGCGCTACGAACTCTGACCACAAACTGACGTTGAAGGAGAAAGCTAGCAATCCAGCTCAAGGGAGGGTTACCGATTCAGTACAACTAAGTATGGAAGGGAGAATCCGATGATCTGGATAATTGAATACCTTCGAAAATCCAGGTGTATCACATCGTCTTCTCCAGCGTAAGCTGTCTCAGTCCAACCACCGCGCAATCAGTGAATTAGTTGTGCATGAGTATTATAGACGGAAGCCGTGCTGCTCGGAGGTGATGACGTTGCAGTTTTCTAGATATTGCATCAGCGTATCGAAAATGATGGATTCTTTGCATCGGACAATACAAGAATAGGAGACATTTGGCTGCAGTTTGAAGGCTCAATTGTGCCTCTGCCTTCGTGAATCGAAGTTAATATTCCAAGATCTCACATGACCAGAACTTGGTTCTGGTTTAAACAAGCCTGAAAATATTGAACCAAAGGTACTGTCAGCATACGCTGTTTCACCCAGTGCTTCCGGACGAACGACATGGATACCCGGGGGCTCTGGTTGTGGAGAGACATCAGCTTCTACAATACAGCTTAGGCAGCAAAAGTGGTAGGTCAGTTCTAGCGGTGAGGCAACAAAAGATGGAAGTTTACCTGATTGTGTGGCTTTACAAAATATTGGGGTACATTGCGTTCGCAACGCGCTTGCCGTTTCTATAGCAGTTCTTATTAGAGCAACAGTCTTCCGAAGCGGAAGCAATTACTGCTTCACTTTGCGTAGTCCATTAACGTGCTTATACAACGGTTTGTGACTGGTACTGAAGGTTTTTGCGATTTTCTGCTAATATGCGGCTTTGTCTTCTCTGAGCAGTTGAGCGCACTAATTACGTCGGGATACGGAGTTGTCCCAAATTTACTGCGTTGAAGCCAATCTATACGCTCGATAGCTTGCCTCGTGTCGCGTTCTGCTCATTACGAAGTAACTATTTTAGGTCCATTGCAAACCCTTGTCTCCAAAGCACTTGCAAATAGTCAACTAAATTGTTAACTAACTGCAGTCAAGCGACTTCCGGGGGTTTTCGACGAGATACGACCAGGTTGTGGCACTGACAAGTTAGGATACATGGTTTTAGCTTGAGATAGTGCGCAGCATCTCATGATTCCTGTTTCGATATTTCGCATAGCAGATGAAGTTGGAACCGCTGATCACATAATCACTGAGATCTAAAGTACAGTCCACAACCATTACCTCAACCATATGTTCCTCCTTAGTAGACACAGGATTCAGCACCCATGGTCTGTCACCTGTTCAGAACCGAGTGATCAAAATGACGGGGTTGTAAAGCGGAACACTGATACCTAGCTCTTGCAGATGGCTTCGAATCTCTCTTTGATTATGACAGCAGTTTACAAACAGTGCAGTTTGAAATCATCCACATTAAGAATATGAGTGTATTTTCCTTTTAGAGTGCGACTTAAAGCACTTGTCATGTGGTATACGCTTCCGGGTGCAGAGTTTGTGGTGTTGTACACCAAAACTATAAAGCAGAGTTTTGTGCCTTTCAACTGTTAGCGTCACCAAAGGAACTATGGGAACTGTAGGTATGTATGCACCACGGCCTTGCATTCTAGGTTGCTTCGGTGATACAGAATTATCCCTCCTGTTTTTGTAAGCCAGATATTTCGTATGAGCGACAGGCCTGAAAGCCAAACTGCAGCGTCCATCATCCCAGCGTGTAGCCACGTCCCAGTAACACCGAGAATGTCCCATAAATTATAAACCTGGCGCTCTTTCAGTTTGGCCAGCTTGTTGAAAAGCCCTTGAACATTTATATACAAACGGGCTGGATTCTTGGTCTCCGGAAGTCTACAGGGGGCGTAGAGGAGTCAGTAGTTGGAGAATGCCGACCTATGTGGGCTAAGCCGTTTTTTGTTTTATGGGACACTAACATATCACCTGCAACTTGATTTGGGCAAGCAACGTTCCATTCCTCGTCTAGACCAATGGCAACATCAAGTGAGTGAGCAGTAGGGTTGGGCTCCTGTATCAACACCGGTAGGTTTGCTTATTCAGATGATTTATTGGCTGGTCTTTGCAAAACTTTTGCAGCCTTTAACAGAAGTTCTGATAGAAGGTTTGTTCCATACTTCCAACAACGTTCCAACACTTTCATTGGTGTTTGTTCTGATGGAACCAAAAGTTTCAGGATTTATCAACCTTATCCTCTATAACCTCATGATAACTAGTCTTTTAGCAATCTTGCACCGGCGCTATCCAAGGACAGTGCTTCGCACATAAACCGCCTCTGTACTAAATCGTCAGTTCTGATATCTTAACTATCTTGGAAAGCAAGCTCTGGTATGCCATGGATGAAAATTGAGTTTAGGTAATTTTGCCTACTGTGTCATTCCGTGGTGTTTCCTTTCGAATGTTTTGCGCACCAAGGTACATCAAAATAGATGCACATCTCATACGATCCATGTTGTAGTGCCCTTGCAGAGAGAAAAACGCTTTCTACATAAATAGCGGATTCTTACGTCACTCTAAGAAGTCGCGGTTTGACCTAGTGTGCAAAGTTCGTGTGACGAATAACTCGTACTAGGTTTGTGTATTTGGCTGTGACGTTCATCAAAATACACAATGAGCTCTACTGCTTTGGTCGTCAGCTAACGCCATGTGATGACAGTGGGTTCGGGGACAGATGTGCACACAATAGTAAGGACGCTAGAGTTGAATGCATCTTTTGTTAAGCTGAGAGGCCCGATGCTAGTTAGTCCTGGATTTTCCCCAAGTGATACGTAACCACTGTTTATCTCTCTAATCGTGTTAGCGGCGTTTGTAACAGAAGAAAACGCAATGGTGACATCCCGTATGGTCTTTGCAGCAATACCTACATATGTGAGTGGTGTCCAGCGCGATTTCGGTTCGACAAGAGAAAATGAACTGCAGCTGCAGAAGGATATGGTTCGGCTGGCCAAGTTTTGCAAATAATACAAGCCGCTAAGATCGGTGGCTGTTTATCGACTACACGTTTCCAGTGGTACTTGCTTATCCTTGTCAGGAGTTCCGCTTGCCAATCAGAGCTACGGGCAATTTGGTGTGGAATGCTGGTGAAGTTGGAGGAGAGAAAGGCCATGGAGATCCTACGGATGTTGAGTTAGGGGAAGCAAATTGTGCATCAGCGCTTTGCTTAGAGGCCCCTATGATTTGCTGTCTCAAACACTTCTAATGAAGTAATCTTAGCGTTTACTACCTGTTCATCTTCTGTTGCCAACCCATTGCACTGCTGGACTAAGATGAGCATACACGTGACGAATGGGATGATGTAACGCACTGTACCATAATGAAGGATGTCTAATAAGCTGGTCCGAACTCGCACCTAACGTTGGGACAGAAAGGAATGCTTTAGGTGGAACCATTTGGGATCTTGCGAGCAGACTGACCCAGTTGCTTAATCAATTAGATTCGCCCGATCCACAGACACCTTTGCCTGGAACACTATTGATTTCGCACTTATTTGCTTTCTGTTATTGCGCACAGTGTCTAACTAACTCAATGAGATGGTTGATGTTCCGTACCTTTCCAACTTTAGTCGGCTGCGCACTCTGGTCAGACGAGCGTTGAAATTGGAGATGTAGCGTGATTGAGGACTATCCGGGTCTTTGTGACTTCTCCGTTTTAAGCATATTTGGTCGTACATCCTAAGGCCTTGACGCAGTCTAATCTCTTGTATCTTAAAACAGACTTAATACAATTAGTAACGGGTATTACAAAGCGCTTTCTTGAAATTGCCATCCAAGTTACCAACGCTTGGTAAAGTAAGCTAGACGGTTATATTCACAGTACATGCACATTATTACGTTAATAAATCCGCTTCGCTTTATATTAACAGTAATTTAGCGTTTCTGTTTGGCTGATACGCCCACACAAGTGCGTGACTTAGTAGGCTTGATTGCAAGCGGGTAGCAGCAGGGGGATTTGAACGGCGTAAGTAAATGCTTATCACATCTATACAGCCATCATCCACACAGTAAAGCACCGAACAACCGTTCCATCCTTTCCAGAACCATTAGTAGTGTGCATTGCATCTGGCTGTTGTGGGCCTAGGACCCCAAAAATCATACGTTATCAATCCGTGTCTAAAACCCCTGTGCTACGAGGGATGGTTACGACCTTCGTGAGTAAAATACTAGGTGTTATGCAGCTTCGCTCACTGTTCACTGGCTTACATGTTACTGCCATATAGAGGACAGGGTAGGCCATTCACCAGATGAAATGCGCAATGCTGACGTTTCCAAAAAGCATGGAACGGCCGCATACTGCTTTTCCGGGTGTATGATAGCTGCTTAGCTGAGTTGAAGTGGGATTAACCTACTAATACGAAAGTGTTCTGTCCACCTTTTTCTCCTGCTCAACGGGTACACGGGGTCTAGCACGAACCTATTGGTCGTGCCGTTGGTGAGTTTGTATTTGCTTGGTGTCCTCAGCAACACATGAAATTCAAGCGTTTGACTAACCTGTGACCGAGGGCAGTTGAACACCCGCCTCCACTGGAACAGTCGTAACAACAGAACGTCTCAGAAGCTGTGCGTCAGATACTTGTTCGCGTTTTACTACACTTGGTACTGTGGATTGAATAGGCTGAAGTATAACTGTGCCAGCTGGTACCGTCGAATCCGCCGGCACTATTTTCCTTTGCGGTCCTCGCTTTGTAGGCTGCTTTAGTGCTGGCCACCCAGTCATCTTTTTCATTGCATATGCGATGGGAGGCAAAATGGCGTGCTCGATGTGAACGGGTCTTTCGCCGATGGAGTCCAAATGTGTGCCAACAATGTAGACTAAGTTATCCGTCAATTCGGGAGCAGTCCGTCGGATTTTTCTCCTACACAGAATGGATAGTTAGTGTCAAAGCCATTTTAACACTGGAATCATTTAGGTGAAATAATGAAAAGCAAACAAAGCAAACAGGTGACTGTGTTCACTTTCATCATTACCATCGGACAAAATGCATTGTGGTTTTTTTGGAGTGAAAGGTAGCCTCACAGTTAGCTGAGTTAACGGGACAAAAGTTACGACCACAGCAATTCAAGTCTCTAAGTGCCGCACGTGATGGCATCTTAAGAACTTCACCAATTGTGTCTCAGCAATGATGAACGATGCCGCTACTCTGGTCACTGAAGATGTACCTAAAATGAGGCTTACCCCTGTGAAAATTGGTGGGAATTTGGAACAATGGATAAGTACCTAAGTTGAAAGTACCCGTTGCCATGACTGTTATCAGACCATGAACAAGGTGTTGGGAGTTAAACACAAACTTGATCCGTGCGAATGTCCTGGGCTGGTCAAGAGGGTGGTTAGCCAGGTGCAGCCGAAGGCACTATTGCACGCGGAGGTGAAGCGCGATGCGGCCGCTCCCATTGGATTTATCAACCCAGGGCAATACGGCGAATGATGTGATAAGTTTGCCTACATGGTGGGTATTTTTGCATTTTAAAGGTTAGATGTTGAGTGTGCTCCCAGATGTGGCTGCGCCTGATGTGAATGTTGGCAAGGTGCCTACCTGTCCATTACCCACCACCTCCTTCATACTGGCTCCATGAGACGGTTGGTCTTTATTTTACAGGATGGGGTACACTGTCCTTGTGACTGTGCTAGGTTCAAAGAGTAGTCCCATCACGTGTGGAACGGGCCACGGCCCATCCATTCCCTGTGTATGTCTGGTACGCATGATTTTTCAATTAGGCAGGAATGCTTCTGTGCTGCTTGTTGGAGGATTGCGGGCCGGCCTCGCTGGAGAAACGTGACTCCTATCCGCATGCTTTCCGATCTTATTCTTTTCTGGTTTACATGTGATATGACGTGTGTTAGTGTTGGACCAACCCTGACCAACCCACTTACAATGATCATCGATCGACCGCTATCGATCACGGTGTTGAACACTCAGCCATAGCCAGAGCAGCGTACGCATTTGGCATCATGGGCTGACGCAGTACGGTTCAGTGAACAATGAGTTAAGAAACGAGTTGAGAAACACTGCTTTATGATCCCTATTTGGTACTCTGGTGGGTTATCGAAAAACTTTAATGAAAAAATGGTTTGTAATTCTCCTATTATAAGAATTGACTTATCCTAGGTAATGCAGTAGCCCTGTACTCCGAGTGTTTCCATAGCTTAAATAGATGAAAATAACATACATCCAAGATATAGCCCGGGAGTAGGATGGAGAGTAGCGTCAATTGAAAAAATGAAAGTGGCGAGAGCGTCTTCCAAATATGGCTAGCTTGAGTGTAGGAACAAACAATTTGGGGAGAGCGTTCCATGGTTGACACACAGGATTGGAAAAGAACTTTGTACGGGAAGCCAGACGGATGCGCGGTCCGCTAATTTTAAGGAGTGACCTCTAAGCTTGGTGTTACTGCTGCGTTGCAGTAAAGAGCGATACACATGATTTGGGTTGGGTAAAGTCAAGTGTGACATAAATAAGTAGCCTTGTAGTCGGCTGATTGTGATGAACAAAAATACTCACAAAAATCCTTCCACTCATAAGTAATACAAATTCGCCCTTACGGAATCCACAAAATCCTATGTCGATTCATAGCTGCCGTAACCGGGAAGTCCTGACGCCGGAAGGCCAACCGCTGTCATCTGCGTGGCAGGTGCCTGCATGGCAGTGGAGGATGGGTCGGGCTATATCGCATTTAGCTAACAATTCTTGATGGTCGGATACCGTCCTCCGTGGCGCAGTTGCATAAGCTGCGGGCTAGTTGGCAAGAGCCACTAGCAGTCATGGGTTCGATCCTCCGTAGAGGACCGAAGGATGCGCACCACTGATGAGCCCCAATAGGGCGAAACGGCCGTCTGGTGCTGTTCCGGATAGCTAGTTGACTTATCTGAATTGTCGGCTGATTGCTCGTATTGAGGGGCAATCCAATGACGTATCTAGAAACCCGACGTTGAGATTTGTCCAGTGCAGTTAGATCGTGCTTCACTCATGTCTGTCAGGCTTGAATTGCGTTTTCTACATGGGGGCGAACATATGCAATCAGCAGCTAGCTGAAAATACTGTTGTTTAGTTGTCCGAACGGCCGTCGTAGCAAGCCGACGTGCTGGTTACCAGTTTCAAGGCTTTTGTTGATTACCTGGAACAACCCAAGTTATGCTGAACAAAAGCACCAAGGTCGCCTTTGACGGATGATCGCAGCAGTACATGCGTTCCCAGCTTGTAGGAATAGGGATTTTGGTGTCGTATGAAGAGTACCTTGCATTTACCCTTGTTGAACTGTAAAAGATTTCGGGTTGACAAATCACGTATCATGTCCAAGTCACACGGAAGTAAATTTTGATCGGTATCCCCTTGAATCTGGCGCCATATCTCGATATGGTAAGCAAACAGCAGGAAATTTGAAGCGATTGTCAGTGCAAGGTCATTGTTGCCTGTTATACACAATCGTGGACCTAAAAACTGAGCCCTGGGCGTACCAGACTCGACTTGTATGGGTTCGGATGAGGTTCTACGAGTTCAGAAAGCGTCATCGATCCCGTAATATTCAAGCTTGGAAAGGAGAATCCGGTGATCTAAACGATCGAATGCCTTCGACCAATTCAACTGGATGACATTAACAGTCTCTCCAACGTCAGCTGACTCGATCTAACTACTCCGTGCGATTTACAAATTCGTTGTGCACGAACACTGTCTATAGAAACCATGTTGCTTGGGAGCATTGATGTTGCAATATGCGAGATAACATGCAAACGCGTCGGTAACGATGGATTCCTTGACCTTAGATAATACAGGGAGAAGAGACGCTAAGCGGTAGTTTTAAGGGCTCACTACTGCTTCCGCCTTTGTGAATCGGACTTATTATCCCAAGCTTCCACTTCGTAGGAATCTGGTTCTAGTATAAGCAGCGCTGAAAGAATTAGACCAAAGGTTTTACTACTTGGCTTGCTGCTGCTCCCAGTGCCACTGGGCAGATGGTGTTGACTCCCGGGGAGCCGTGGTTGCGCAGATACGTCAGCTTCTGCAATACAGCTTCAGCAGTGAGAGGTGTAGATGAGTTCTGGTGGCGGGAAACAGAAGTTGGAAGATGGCCTGATGGTAAAACCCACTAAAATGGGAGCATACTGTGTTCACAAGACGTTTCCTGTTTCTAGAGCTGTTCTAGTTGGACCATCCATCCTCCGGAGCAGAGCAATTCCTTGCCTCACCTTAGGACGGCCACTAACATCCTTGTACAGCAGTTTGTGATCAGCGCTGAAAATTTTCTTCATATTCTGCTGAAATGCGACTTTGTCATCGCTGAGCGGTTGAGTGTAGTGGTTACGCTGGGCTACATATTTGTCCCAATTATCTGTACTCTCGCAAGGCTGCGTTGCGCACAGTCATCCATTTTATAGTTCTGCTTATCATGATAGAAGCGGTGTTAGGCCTATTTCAAACCCTTGTCTCTGAGGAAACCACAACCAGTTGCTTGAATTTGGTGTGAATTCAAGCCAAGCGATGTCCGGGTGGGCTTCAGCAAGCAACGATCAGGTTGTGACTCTGACAAGTGGAGTTAAACGATTGTAGCGCGTAGTGGTGCGCACCATCTCAGTGTACTTGTGGCGATATTCCGCATAGCAGATGAAGTCGAAACTGATGGCTGCATAATCACTGCGATCAAAGGGGTATTCCACATTCAGCACATCAATTATAAGTTCCCCCTTGGTGAACACAAGGTCCAACAAAGATATTCTATTACTTGTTCTAAAACGAGTGGGCATAATGACTTGATCGTAAAGTGGAACACTTGTTATAAGCTCTTGCAGATCTGCTTTGGATGCTTCTTTAATTGTAGCAGAGATTTCTAACCAAAGTATGTTGAAATCACTTATGATAAGGATGTGCGTGTGCTTTCCTTTTAGACGGCATCTTAAGGCTTTTGCAAGTTCGCAGTCCACTTCCGGTGTAGAGTTTGGGGGGCGGTACACCAAAGCTATATGGCAGGTGTCTCTACCATGTAGTTGCAGATGGCATCAAAGAGAATCGGCCAACTGTAAGTCTGAATCCTCAATGGCCTTGCATTGTAGGTCGTTTCGGTAAAAAAGAATAACCCCACTTCCTTTCGTAAGCCTTGCGCTTCGTAGGAGTGACATGCCCGGCGGCGAGACTTCAGCGTCTGTCATTCTACGGTGCAACTATATCTTCGTGATATCGCACGGCTTCAGAATTTGGCGATCTTTCAGTTCGGCCGGCTTATTGAAAATGTCTTTAGTATTGGTATAAAGGTAGAATAGTTGCTCGGTCTCTTGGATCTCAGAGGGAGCCAAAAGTATCAAGTGTGATAGAATGCCGACCGATACGAGGTCTGCGGTTAACCGCTTTTTTGACCAAGGTACTTCCCACACGTTGTCCGGAAGTACTACAGAAGCGCGGGACCCAACGGTAAAGTGATGCTCCTGCGTGATCGCTGGTAGGCTTCCTTTATCAGGTAGGCTCATGTATGGTGTTTGCATCACTACAGCAGCTTCCAACCGAAGTCCAGATGGAAGACGATGTCATCGCCAACATTCTACTACTTCATTCGCAGTCTACTCTGACTGAAGCAAGAGTTTTAGGATTCGTGGTTCGCTTCCTCTACAATTTGGCCTCATGATTATCGTGGGAAGGAAGTTCTGACACGCCATAAATAAGGATTGCGCTTATGCAATCCAGCTTATTGTGTCCATACGAGATGTTTGTTTTCGATTGACGCGTGCTGCATTGGACCGCGGGATATATGCGTAACCTACAAGGCCAACTTGCGCACTTGCAGAGTAAAATGTTTTCTACTTCACTGGTCGATTGCAGTGTTACTGTCATAATTCCTGGTTCGCCATGGTATGCAGAGTTTGTGTGACGAGTAACTCTCAGTAGTTTCGTGGGTTTGGCTTTTACGTTCATCAAAATGTACAGTGAACTCCGCTGGTCTTGGTCGTCAGACAACTCAACCCGCGACATGATGGCAGTAGATTCGGGGACGTTAGTGCATATGACAGTCAGGGAGTTATTGCTGGAGCCCATTTTTATTGTACTGCAAGGGCGGGTGATTGTTGGGCTTAACTTTATGCCAAGTGATGACGGTCTACTGCCGGTAT